TGGTAGATTCCACCATGGAGTTGATTACTACCAGTCTCATCATGGGGAATACTACACCCAGCTGCCCAGCCATTCAACCAGGCCTAGCCAAGTTGGCATACAAACAAAACCATCACACCTCCCTATGCCAGTGGCAAACTTAAGTGTACTACTGATTGCATAAGAAATCAGCCGGTCTAGATCTCAGCATAACTGGAATTGTGGATTGCCGGTGACAATACAAAATGGTACAGCTTCTTTAAGGGCAGATAGGCAGTGTCTTATACAGTGAGAACACACACCTACCATATGACAGTAATCCTCCCTCTGGGGATATACACAGGTAAGTTCACATAAAACCAGTTCAAGAATGTTTACATCAGCTTTATTCATAATAACTATAAATTAACAAATCCTTCAGTGGAAAAAGCACAAACTATGCTAAGGCCATACAATGGAATTCTAACCATCAATTAAATAAAGGGAACAAGCTAGAGGTACATTCATCATCGTGGATGATTCTCAAACACATTACGCTATGGGAAAGGAACTAGAGTCAGAAAGTTACAAACACAATACACTGCACGTAAAGGGACAACTGGTAGGGATTTACGGCCAAGTGAAAGTTTGACTAAAAGGGGCAGCAGGAGGGAGAATTTTGGTGGGAAGAGTGGTACCGTTCTCTACTTTCATTTTGCAAATAATTATGAAGCTTCATGAATCTGTCAACTCAGATTCCAAAAGGAAATTACTGCTTTAAAACTGGGGGGAAAAAAAAGTAAAAAATTTCATAAGAAATGAATAAAGAATGTTAAAAAATTGAAAAGTGGGAAGCAAACTGAGAGAAGAATTCAATCATAATTATCACCTTCAGGGGAGAATCCTTGTTAATGTTCTAGAATGGACTGTCTCTACAACATTGTTGGCATTTATAAAATGTACAACATTAACACATAAATGTTTCACAAACTGAGAGCATCATGCACACGCTATTTTATACTCTGCTGCAGTGCAATGGGTTTCTCTCACACATGGTCATTCTGGCTCTGGGTTTGTAATTCTGCAGAAAAAAAAAGGATTGGTTATGCCACAGTCTGCCTTATAACTGGTTTATTTTGCATACATTATGGGGAGCAGTCGATCTGCTATTCATACAGTGGCTTGACAATCCACTCAATTGGACTGGGTGACTTGCAGCCTACCAAGTGGCCTGGTTAGTCACTGTCCTGTAAAAATAGCTATGGCTTGAAATTGACAAGGAGTTTGCTTATATAAGTGACAACATCAAAAAGGGACAGAAAGAGAGGAGGAGGGAACCTCCTAAAAGAGTTGTAATATGGGGCAAGAGCTACAAATAACAGCTTTCTCACATTCCTTATAATCATGTCTCTCCACATTTGAGTTTACTGAGGTTCAGTAAGGACTGAGGAATTACTAAAGCCTTTCCCATATTCTTTATGTTCATAAGATCTCTCCCCAATGTGAGTTATGTGCCTAGTAAGGGATGAGGACTCACTAAAGGATTCCCCACATTCTGTACATCCCTAATGTCTCTCTCCACTCTGTGTTCTTATAATGCTAGTGACGTGTTAGGAATTACTAGAGGACTCGGAACATTCTTTAAATTCATAAGGCCTCCTTGTGAGTTTTTATATGACTAGTGACAGATGAGGAATGCCCAAAGGCTTTCCTTCAACCCTTACATTCTTAAGGCTTCTCTCCAGTGTGAATTCTTACATGTGATGTGAGAGATGAGTTATGCCTAAAGGCTTTCTTACATTCCTTACCTTCATATGGCCCCTCTCCACTGTGCCTTCTTAAATGGCTAGTGAGGTGGGAGGACCGACAAAAGGTTTTCCCACATTCCTTACATTCATACGGCCTTTCCCCACTGTGAGTTCTTCTTATATGGCTAGTGAGACATGAGGACTGACTAAAGAATTTCCCACATTCTTTACATTCGTAAGGCCTCTCTCCACTGTGAGTTCTTATATGTTGAGAGAGGGCTGAGGAACGACTAAAGGCTTTCTTACATTCTGTACATTCATAAGGCTTCTCTCCTGTGTGCACTCTTCTATGTATAGTCAAGTCTGAGGAACGACTAAAGGATTTCTCACATTCTGTACATTTATAAGGCTTCTCTCCTTTGTGAGCTCTTATATGTGTAACAAGGACTGAGGAATGAGCAAAGGCTTTCCCACATTCGCCACAGACATAAGGCTTCTCTCCAGTGTGGATTCTTGTATGTGCAGTGAGAGATGAGGACTGGGTAAAGGCTTTCCCACATTCTTTACATTTATAAGGTCTCTCTCCAGTGTGAAGTCTTGTATGGTTAGTGAAGGCTGTGCGATGTTTAAAAGCTTGTCCGCATTCCTTACATTCATAAGGTCTCTCTCCACTGTGAGTTCTTGTATGTTCAGTGAGGGATGAGGGACGAGTGAAGGCTTTCCCACATTCTTTACAATCATAAGGCTTATTTCCAGCATAAAAATTTTTCTGTAAAAGGGAAGATGACAGATAGCTCTTCTGACATGCTTTACATTCACACTTACAACCTCTCACATGTGTCCACAAAGATGATAAACAACAGAAACCTTCCTCATATTTGTTAAATTCATAGAGTTTCTCTTCAGGAAGAGCTCTTACAGGAGTACTTCGGTCCAAAGGACAACTGCAGGCTTCTCTATATTTCTGACATTCGTAACTACTGCAAACACACTGACAGATGATAGGATGTTTAAGTGATGAATGGTCAATGAGGGATTTTCCACTCTCATGGCATTCTGAAGAATTTACAACAGTAGCAGTTCTTCTGAACGCAGGAAGATTTGGAATCAGGCTGAAGGTTTTTCCACCTTGATTTTCTTCAATACTTTCGAAGAGGTTCTTTATCATACACTTTCTGTTAAAAACAGGCAGCATACCGTTAGGATTAAATTTGTTCCGATTTTACTATGACCAAACACAGAAAATGTTTATGATTTTTGTTCTAAGTTGCTTCATGTTTCAGAGGTTCAATCATCTTGCAGAAAGTCTACCACTAGTTGCAGAGTTTTTCCAAAATATAAGGATTTTTGATAATTGTGTACAAGTGAAATATATTTCAAACAGTCAATATATGACTCACATTCATGAAAATTGTGTGAACATACATTTTAGAACTAGTTTTGTACATATATGTACACATACATATACAGTTTTAAACTCATGACATCTTAAGATTTTCTCCTGAGGCACTGCTTTCTCATGTGAATGATACTCACCTCATACTTCTTCCCTGATTTTTAGGCTGATCTTCAACACCATCCAATTCACCGACTTCTCCTAGCTTGGATAAACAAGTGCCCTTCTTCATGAATTCCAGTATTAGACATTCACTTGATAACTTTTCTCCATCATTCATGGTTTGAGAAACTGACCGATGATTGAAATTAAAGTTCACAATATGAAATAAAAAGGAATTATTAGGAGGAAAAAGGCAACTGGGAGCAAAGAAAGAATGACACATTTTGCTGTTTCAAGTCTTTGGCAATGGCTAAAAAGCAATTGTCTAGGAACACTTCCATGAATTTTGAGAGCAACAGTAAAATAAATAAGGTATAATTAGGAGAGAAATCTACAAAACCTGGACAAATTACATATGTACCATGGAAACACTCAATGTGTATGGAAGAGGGAAGAGGGAAGATATTTCTCCATGAACACAAGTATGAGAGACTGATCACAGTCAGAAAGGCAAGATCAGGCCTGTGAACTGCAGGCTCTTCTACACAAAAGAGACCTTTCTGATTTATTCCAATCCAATTCCTCCAATGCAGGGCTGGTCCACCAAAGGATTCTTCTCTATGTGGTGCCCTGACACAGTAGCTCTGGATGTCCTATTTTCACTCTCCTCACATATTTCTCTTGCTTTTCTGATACAAAAAGTGGGTGTAGTGGACAAGGTGCTCATGGAGAAAGGCACAGCATGAGGAAAAACAGTAATTAATATTTCTGTGACATTTAGACAATACGTTGGCATTAAGAGTCTCTGGTGATGGGCAGGTGTGAATTTATTTGCAGCAAAATAATCATGTGTCACTTCTAATAAACACAGTGAAACATTTCATAAGGTCCTAAACAATATGTCTTCTCTCTGTGCTCTAAAGTAATGTCTGAATTCAATTCTCATACTGAAATAGCCTCAAGGCTTTTAACAAGAGAAATAAAAAGTCAGATTAATACAGAGAGCTTTATGTGCAGCTCAAGCCATGATATTTAAGATCCACAGATGAAATGATCATGCCTGTCCTGTTTAACAATGCAGTCCCATTCTTCAGTCCAAATACTGGAGCAAGGCTGAGGAATAGGATATACATGTTCACTTAATAAATTTACAAATGACATCATACTTACCTACTGAGACCAGGTTTCTGAAGGTTTCCATCATCACGTCTTTGTATAGTTTCCTTTGAGCAACATCCATCAAAGCCCACTCTTCCTGGGTAAAGTCCACAGCCACATCCTCAATGACCACTGAGTCCTAAAACACCACACATATTCTTGTTGAGTAAGATACCATATATTCCAGTATGTGCAAAAGGATAGGGGAGGCTGATAGTCCTGAGAATTCATAGGGATTTGATACAAGATTCTGGGATGGACCAAAGTCTACTCCAGGGTTTAGACATATGCCTCATTCCAGCACTGCCTGCATTCACTTCCTGACTGATTGCATCCTTTGTCATAGATTTAACAATACTTCCAACACACTGATATGTCTCTACACTTGGTGATGAGTTCCTAACTTATTCTATCTTTATGGACTAGAACACTTGGAGCATGTAAAAGAAAGTACAGAAATGGTCTACAAATGAAACTCTTACATCCACATTCAGATCAATTGCTTCTGAGCAAAACAAAACGACATCACTGCCTTCAATAAGACCCACCAGAATGCTCAAAAGAACATGAGTCCCAGGGTGAAAGTAGGATGAGATATTAACAACTGGGAAACACTGTAGGACGTGAAGCTTTTCCTTTTACCCCTCATCAGTCATGGGAGGCTCAGGGGCCTAAACCAATAAATTCCAGGCCCTGAGAAGCTCATATTTTTGGATGTCAACAAAGGTTTCTCTAACATGTATACGGAAAGAGTGAAGCCTAAGAACAGTCAACAAAGTGCTGAGGAAAACACAGTGGAAGTCTGACCTACACCATTTACTCTAAAGCTACAGCAATCGAGAACGTGTGTGTCAGGTGCCGTTGAGCTGGCTCAGAATAAAAGCTGCCCTATGTACCAGAGAACGAAACACTGCACCACCCTCACAATCACTGTTATGCTCAAGTCTGCTGTCATGACATTGAGTCAATTCATCTTGTTGAGGGTCTTTCTCTTCACTGACTCTCTATTTTACCAAGCACAATGTCCTTCTCCAGGGATTGGTCCCTCCTGATAACATGTCCAAAGTACATAAGATGAAGTCTCACCATCTTTGTTTCTAACAAGCATTCTGGCCATACTTCTTCTAATACAGATTTGTTCATTTATCTGGCAGTCCATGGTATAGTCGATATTCTTTGCCAACATCATAACTCAAAGGCATCAATTCTTCTTCAGCCTTCCTGATACAATGTTCAGCTTTCACATGCTTATGAAATGACTGAAAATACTATGGTTTAGGCTAGATGCATCTTACTCTTCAAAGTGGTATCTTTGCATTTTAAAACTTTATATACATAGATCTTTTGCAGCAGATTTACCCAATGCAATACACTAATTTCTGGACTGCTGGTTTCATTTGCATTGATCATGGATTCAGTAAAATGAAATTCTTGTCAACATCAATATTTTCTTGGTTTATCTTCATGTTGCTTAGTGGTCCAGATGTGAGGGTTTTCATTTTATGTTGAGGCAGAATCTATACTGAAGGCTGCAGTCTTTGATCTTCATCACTAAGTGCTTCCAGTCATCTTCACTTTCAGCAAGCAAGGTTGTTTCATCTGCATATTGCAGGTTGGTAATCAGTCTTCCTCCAATCCTGATGCCGTGTTCTCCTTCATATGGTCCAGCTTCTCAAATTATTTGCTCAGCAGACAGATTGAATGAATATGGTGGAAAGATACAACTGTGACATACACCTTCCCTGATTTTCAACCATGCAGTATCACCTCGTTCTGTTTGAATGACGGCCTCTCGGGCTATGTACAGGTTCCTCACAAGCATAGTTAAGTTTCTAGAATTCTTATTCTTGACAATGTTATCTATAATTTGTTATGACTCACACAGTTAAAAGTAATTGAATAGTTAATAAAACACAGGTAAACACCTTTCTGGTATTTTTTGCTTTCAGCCAAGATCCATCAGACATCAGCAATGCCATCTCTTATTCCATGCCCTCTTCTGAATCCAGCCTGACTATCTGACAGTTTCCCGTCAATATCCGTTGCAACTATTTTTGAAATATCTTCAGAAAAATTTTACTTGGGTGTGATATTAATGTTACTGTTCAACAATTTCCACATTCTGTTGGAAAACCTTTCTTTGGAATGGGCACACATAGGAATCTCTTCTAGTTAGTAGGCCAGGTAGCTGTCTTCCCAATTGCTTGACATAATCAAGTGAATGCTTCCAGTGCTGCATCCATTGGTTACTCCATCAATTCCTGGAGCCCTGTTTTTCTCCTGAAATAGTTGCACACGGAACCAATTCTTTTTTGTAGAGTGACTCTGTATTCCTTCCATCTTCTTTTAAATGATTCCTGCATCATTCAACATTTTGCCCAAAGAATTGTTCAACAGTACATCTTGAGGCTTGAATGTTCTCTTCAGTTCTTTCAGCTTGAGAAATGCTGAGTGTGTTCTTCCCTTTTGGTTTTCTAACTTCAAGTCATTGCCTATTTTATTATAATAATTTACTTAGTTTTTTCTAGCTATTCTTTGAAATCTTTTCTTCAGCTCTGTTATCTAGTCATTTCTTCCATTTGTTTTCCTACTGTCCATTCAAGGCCAAGTTTCAAAGTCTCTTCTGTCATCCATTTTGGTATTTTATTCCCTTCCTTTCTAATGACCTTTTGTTTTCTTCATGTATGATGTTCCCGATGTCATCCCACAACTCATCTGGTTTTTGGTCATTGATGTTTGTTCAGTGCTTCAAATTTCTTCTTCAGGTGTTCTCTAAATTCAGGTGGGATATAATCAAGGTCATATTTTGGCTCTCGTGGACTGGTTTTAAGTTTCTTCAGCTTCAACTTGAACTTGCATATGAGCAATTGATGGTCTGTTCCACAATCAGCTGCTGACCTTTTTGGGTTGAGCTTCTCCATCCTCTCTTACCACAGATATACTCAAGCTAATTCCTATTTATTCTACCTGGTGAGGTCCATATGGCTAGCCATCCTTTATGTTGTTGAAAAAAGTATTTACAATAAATAAGTCATTGGTTTTGCAAAATTACATACCCACTGGCAAGATGCCTCAGAGAGCAATAAAGCTGATTATCCAAGGGGAGCTGGTGGAAGAGGAAAGGCCGGATAAGGTAAAGAATAGGAACGAGTCTTTATAAATTAGAATTTTGAAGTTGAATTTTGAAGTTTTGAATTTTGAAGATGTTATCTATTATAAAAAACATAATTCAGTAAGTGAAATTTTACTTTCAAATATGAAGATATCAAATGACATATTCAATGTCTTTACTAGGAATTCCCATGGGTACTTGCAAAATCACTTATGATCTAATCATTTGAGTTGATTATTAAATGGTCTAAAACATCAGCATAAATCATAAAATGTAAATCTAAGCTCTTTCTAAACAGTGGCCAGGGATATCAGAGTCTGTATATCCATTTTATTCCAGTCAGGAGAATGTTTCTAAAATAGTCAACATATTAAGGGTGCTGGTATGAACTGTTAAATGTCACAGGAGTTTTTAAGAACATCTCAAGATTTAAGGAAGCTTTAACGAGCTTTCTGTGTTGGAGAAGACTTATAGTCATTAAATTGAAAATTTTACAGTAGAAACAGACAAACTGATCTCAAAAGTTTTTTCCATTGGTGGAAACTGTAAACCTAAGAACTTAAATACAGACAACTCATATACTGATAGCATCTAGCACAATAAGTATACTTCAATTTTATATTCTAATTCAAGACTGGAAACAGTGGTCGAAATTACAGGGATTTAATATAAGCTCTAGGTATAGGGAGTCCTGAGGTCAGAGAGGTAGAAGTGTTTGGCTCCCAATCAAAAGGTCAACGGTTCAAAATTACCAGGCGCTCAACATGGTGAAGATGTAGCTGTCTGCTTACATTAAGATTACAGCCTTGGAAACCCTACAGGGCAGCTCTACTCAGTTCTACAGGGTTGCTATGCGTCATGATTGATGCAAGAACAATGGGCTTGGTTTGTTTTTTTGGCTACATACAGGTAGATAGGAGGACAAGGATCTAGACTGGGGTGATGAAGGGTTAATCAAATCACAGCATGCCATAAGCAATGGCCAAGTTCTCTGTCAAGATTTATAGACCCTTCAAACAATAAACAGAGGCTCAAAGCACAGAACAGAGTGCTCTAACTGGACCAGTGGATGGCAGACAATGGCACGTAGATGTGCATATCAAAATTGAGTAACATTATAGCCACAAGGCTTACAATCAATTTCCCATTATTTATTTGTTTTCTGATTATGTCACAATAAAGAAAAAAATCTCTTTTGCTAGAAAGCTTGGTGAAAACGTGTTACACTACAATGGGAGATTCATGGTTCTCACATATCTGAGATGCGCAACGCAAAAGAATTCCTTCTGGAAAAAGGATGGGTCTGGGAATCTCCCACAGGACCCAGCCTGACTCACTCTCTATAGCATCATTCCTTTGGTGAAAATATCAGGAGAGCACCAAACGCTACCTAGAATCCTGACAAATTCTCTCAGCTTCTTTACTTCATAACACAGAGTTCCACCTTCACGCTGTGGTCAGGAGAGTCTGTCATTAACACAGCACCAAGGCCCAGGGTAGTGATCTTATTGCCCCATGATGCCAGCTCTTAGTCACAGAAGGAAGGTGACCCCAGGCATCTATAGGTGTATAGAAAGGGCCCAGTGACAATGGAGCAGGGCCTCAGGATGCCTCCCAGGGACAGTCGCTGGGCCTCCTGTGCCACCTTTTCACACCACAGGGGCCAGAGCACAGAGGCGATACCCCCAAAATTCACGTCCAGCCTCACTCCCTTACGGCAAGAATAACCCACTTCTCCATAGTACTCACCATGTCCTTCTTCCAGCTGGAAGTCTAAGTGAGTGTCCTTTCTGAGCCCAGGAAGCCACTTCAGGAAGGCGGATGGGAGTGGAAGCAGAGTAGCTGGGGAGTCTGGAGGCCAATGGGTAACATATGCTTCAACACCAGTCAGGACAACAGAAACCTGACTTGTGGGTTATGATGTACAAGACGGCTGTCCTAGGTCACCAGCTAGCTGCCTAGACCGGACTACTACTCCCCGCATCACACTCGGGACCTGAAATGGAGGAAGGATGAGGGTAGACGGG